GCAGGCGCAGCGGGCGCTAGGGCACGAGAGCGACGTAACGGCAGGCGCGATAGGCGCTAGGGGACAGTATGAGCGTAACGGGCACTAGGGTACGGGACAGGCTCGGGCGCTACGGACGTGAACGAGAGGAACGGGATCCCACAGGATCCTAACCTAGGTGATACCATGTCAAGAATGAAAGTGTTGGTTCATTGATGTGGGTTGGGGTACATATAACAAACCGTAACATCTGTACCCCCTAAGACAAACCTCACTACAGGCTACAACATTTGACAGAGGGTCCTCTCAGGTACGTCTCAGGTCTGGTGCGGCTGAGGTTCGGTTCAGGTATGTCGCAGGTCCAGTGCGGCTGAGGGTCAGTTCAGGTATGCCTCAGGTCCGGTGCAGCAGAGGTTCGGTTCAGGTATACCTCAGGTCCGGCGCGGCTAAGGTTCGGTTCAAGTACGCCTCAGGTCCGATGCAGCTGAGGTTCGGTTCAGGTACGTCTCAGATCCGGTGCGGCCGAGGGTTGGTTCCGGTACGCCTCGGGTCCGGTGCAGCTGAGGTTTGGTTCAGGTACAGGTACTCGTCAGGTTCGGTTAGGCAGACGTTCGGTTTAGGTGCACCTCAGTCCCGGTGCGGCTGAGGGTCGGCTCAGATATATCTCAGGTCCGGTGCGGCTGAGGTCTGGTTCAGATACGCCTCAGGTCCGGTGCGGCTGAGGTTCCGCTCAGGTACACCTCAGGTCCAGTGCAGCTGAGGTTCGGTTCAGGTACGTTCCAAGTCTGGTGCGGATGAGGTTCGGTTCAGGTATGCCGCAGGTCCAGTGCGGCTGAGGGTCAGTTGAGGTATGCCTCAGGTCCGGTGCAGTTGAGGTTCGGTTCAGGTATACCTCAGGTCCGGCGTGGCTAAGGTTCGGTTCATGTATGCCTCAGGTCCAATGTGGCTGAGGTTCGATTCAGGTACGTCTTAGGTCCGGTGCGGCTGAGGGTCGCTTCAGGTACGCCTCAGGTTTGGTCTAGCTGAGGTTGGTTCAGGCACTCCTCAGGTTTGGTCTAGCTGAGGTTGGTTCAGGCACACCTCAGGTTTGGTCTGGCTGAGGTTGGTTCAGGCACTCCTTAGGTTTGGTCTAGCTGAGGTTGGTTCAGGCACTCCTCAGGTTTGGTAAGGGGATGCTGGGGGTAAGGGGATGCCGAGGGTAAGAAGATGCTGGGGGTAAGAAGATGCTGGGGGTAAGGGGGTTAGGGCACAGCCGTCCGACTTTCCGGGCATGTCAAACAGTGCTAGGGGCTGGATAGTTGAGCCTGGTACGTGCATGTGTGTGTGTGTAAGTGAGTGTGTAATTGTTTGTGTGTGTGAGTCAGTATGTGATTATGTGTGTGTGACTGTGTGATTCTGTGTGTGTGTGTGAGTGTGTGTGTGAGTGTGCGAATGTGAGTGTGCGAGTGTGTGTGATAGTGTGTGTGTGTATGTGTGTGTGTGTGTGTGTGGTCTCAAAACGGTGCTAGGGGCTGGACCGCTGTGCCCTAGTCTGATTGTGTGTGTATCTTGAAGAGGGATGGGGGGGGGGGGAGGGGGGGGAGGGGGGGTTAGGAGGAGGTTGCTAGTGTCTGTGGGGTTACACTGCTGTACCTTGAACGTGTTTGTGCCAACTGAGACTCATCGAACACTGCGAGTGGTTAGAGAACTGTACCTTTTATGTGTAGCAGGTGATTTTTTATATTTCTCAAAACCACCTAGAGGTTGGACAACTGTACCATGTGTGTGTAGTAGGTGCGGCCTCCACCGTCTTTGTGTGTGTAGCACTCTTCCATGCTCATACCACTTTCTGCCTTCTCTTCTCTTCTTACCCATGCTCCTTACATGCACATTCGCTCTTTGGCTGTGAGTTCAACAGGCATCTCTCCCTCAACCTTCCCTACAAACCGTCTGCTACAACCGACTGCCCCACTCCTCTTGATTCCCCTTCTCTGCCCATCCCCTTCCAGGCTATGCGCAATCTTCCACTCTCATTTCAATCACTGCCTCGCCTTCAGCCAACTGCTCCATTTCCTCTTGTTTCCCACACAGTTCAGGCAAGGCACTCTCTTTGACTCTCATTTCAATCACCGCCTCGCCCTCAGCCGACTGCCCCATTTCCTTTCGTTTCCCACACACTGCAGGCAAGCCGCTCTATTCCACTCTCATGTCAATCCTCGCCTCGCCCTCAGCTCCCCCCCAAACCATCCACTTCACCCGACTCGCCTCTCTCCTCTCCTCCTCCCCCATCTGCGACTTTCTTCAACATCCAATTGCTGGAAGAGCATGTTGTTCTCTCCATGGCCACCGCAGCACACTACTATGGGTGAGTTGTGAGCCTTCCTCCCTCCTCTCCTTACCTGCACCCCGCCCCCCGTCCAATCACTGGACGAGCTTGTGGATCACCCCATAGCCATAGAAGTGGTCATCCATAGCACTGCTACGGGTGAGTGGTCACCGTTATGCCTCCTCAACAGTAAGCATGCTCACAAGCAACTCTGCCAGCTTGACGATGCTAATCAATGTGCCACGAGTGAGTGATTATCGTTACGCCTCTTCAACATTGAGCATTTGAGTGCCTGGAGTGTGCTACGGGTGCGTGATTAGCTGCAGACGGTTTTTAAGCATTCTCAACAACCACCTGCCACAGCAGGGCGCTGCTACGGGTGAGTGGTTGGTTACTGTTACACCTCTTCAAAAGTGAGTTTGTGACTGTCTCGAGCGTCCACCTCCATCCCTCTCCCCCCTCGCTCTGTCGTTGACATCCACTCACTGGATGCGCTGCTTGATCGCCCCATAGCCACGGCACCGCACTACTATGGCGAGTTGCTACTGTTATGTCTCTTCCAACTGTATGCCCGTGAGCCTGTTAGTGTTTGCAGCATGCTTCTCTCCTCTCCTCCCCCTCCTCCACCTCGCTCTGACTCTGACAGAAAGACTTGGTCCTCGTTTGAAAGAGATTAGACGTGATATGCAAAATACACTGACTCACGATGCTCCTGTGAGTGTTTGTCGCGTGCTCCTCTCCCCACCTTGCTGTGTCGTTGACATCCAACCACTGGACGAGCTGCTTGATAGAGCCACAGCCACAGCAGCGCACTGCTACGGATGAGTGGGTAACGTTTTGTCTCTTGTAACTGCTTCTCTCCTTTCCATAGCCATAGCATCGCAATACTACAGGTGAGTGACTAATTCCACGTGCATCAAACCATCTGCAGCGCGTGCTATTTTGTCAAGCATAAAAGGGGGCTTGCTGGCAAGTGAGCTGCTTATCGATATTAGAAAAGTCTCAAAGTGTCTGTAGTGTGTAATATGCTGTGAATCGCTGAATGAGCTTGTTGACCGCAATGCTGCAAGTGAGCTGCTGATCTTCAGCAACTTTTGAGTCTACTATGTTAGTGGATGCTTTTTTGTTATTTTATTTTCTCGTCTTTGTAATTTTTTCCTTCATGTATATTTATAGGTATACAGCTGGCAGCAGTTCGAGTTGCATGGGCACCGTGGACCGGGTGTAGTGCCAGGTAGACAAACATACCTTATCTTGAATAGACTCCAAATGTTTCCGTCTAATCGTCTCTAGGCATATATGAGGAATTCTCTCAGAGTCCGAGGAGCACTAACATTGTTTTTTCAAAAAAATGAAAAGGTATTGTCTTGTATATAATATATGTGTTTTTCCATTCAAATCTCTTTTAAATATTCTCCAAAGTGTCTGGCACATGCTTGTACAATTAGAGTTTTTGTCCTATAGCTGGGTCCTTCCAATAGGAAAAAAAGTTGTAGCGGTGATTTTATACATGAAGGTTTACGGTACACTCGCCAATTAGTGATTCCGATTGTAAAGGGTTTTTATCTGATTTGTTTTCTCCCAATCAATGTCAGCTGCGATGCTGCCATCAGGGTGACTTCGCGAACCTGGGTGACTTCTTCGTCAGCCATTCACGCCGTAATAGAGCAGCATCGACTCGGTAAGAAGCGCGCGTCAAGCGCCAGTTCTGCTGGCACGTAGCCCTGATAAACTCGGTAGGAAACGCACGAAACTAGCTTGCGAAGGCAAAGGCACTGCAAGACTCGGATGTAACTGGCGTAATGCGTGCGTGGCGTTGCATGGCGAACATGGCGACTCGACGCACAACTCACTCGCACTCACCCCCAAGAAAACGCATCAGCATGCTTCAGCTCCTCCCCTCTCCCAGCACAGGCTGGATTGACTGCATCCATCCATATGCACCCCCTTCCCCGCTGTATCTTCCCCCAGATACCTCCCCCTTCCCTGCAGTTGTCCAGTATGGTTGCCCTGCTATCTGTATTTAGGTCACCCCAGCCTTCTTGTATCAGCAGATTCCAAGCTTGTTTACTTCCACAACTATCCATTTGAAGTCCCAACGTCCGTCCGACGGAGAGTCTCACCCTAAAAAGTATCTATTCGGAATAGCAGATCTCGTTAGTTCTTTCCCTACTTCTTTGACAGTAGAACAACTGACGACGCGTCACCAGCGCCAATGATGGCGGCCGGGATAACTCCTCTCTTCGCGACTCTCCTCCTCTCCTGCCTTCTCCTCCCTCTAGCTTCGGTGCGCGCCTTCAAACTGGATTGCGAATACGAGGCAAGCGAGACCGTACTCGTCCTAAGCTACTGTAACGGCAACGGGTGGCGTCGCACGTGTCTCTACGGCGGCGGCTATGCCACGGACGGCTCGGGAGAGTGCACGCTCGTTCAGGCCGGCGCGCTTTACTGCGAGGACTGCGGGGGGACCCCGCGCAAGCTCGCGCGTTGCTGCGATATAGACCTCTTCGGTTACGAGTTAAACGGCCACGACCAGGCCAGCACGTATAATATCGAGTTGGGGATTAGTTCCCTTCAGTGCCCGGGGAATTCCGGATGTGTTGACTCTGGTTACCCGCAGTGTAACGGGGATGGGTTCAATGGGATTACTCCGTACTGGGCAGATAAATATGCCTATAAGCAAAGTTACGATTACTGCCCGGAATCCCGCGAAAAGATGTTCCGTGCGATGGAGCCCCGCGCGCACACCAGCGGCGGGGTGCAGCTGCGCGGATTCGAGCCCCCGCGGGAGGAATCCGCTCTTCCGGCGGAAGAGATCCGCGCAGAGCCGCCACACCCGAGTTTTTCTTCTGGCGACGGCGCGCGGGTGCGCGGAATGACCAAGATGAGCCGCCGCCTATGGGGAAGCGGGCGCCCCTGGTCTCCCCCCAGAATGTACAGCCGCCGCCTGTGGGGGAGCGGGAGACCGTGGTACCCGTAATAAGCAGATTCGGCACCCACCCAAGGTGAAGTGCGAAGGAGATTCGACAAAGCTTGAAGTGACACCAAGGTGGAACACGTGTTCAGGGTTTATGGTAAGGCACCACAGGATAAGATTTCTCGAAGGGTTTGTGACGTGAAAATAGAAAAAGTAATGTTTTTTTTGTTTCGGATACAAATAAGGGCTGCCTGGAAAACTGAGATTGGGAATGGCCAGTGCAACCATTCCTGCTAGCTGTGTGCTGAAATAATCACTTCAGAGCGCCCTATCTGTTGAGGAGTAGAAGGTTAGACTGGTTGGTGGTACTTGTTTGGTTCTGAGGCTCAAGTCTGGTTGAGCTGTTTTGGGCTCCTGGTGGTGCCAGCTGAACTAGGGGGGGTGGGGAGATATCTGCCTAACCTGGACGTATAAATTACATGATTATTTGTTAATGTTGGTTTTTATATTGTTCGGATATAATTTTGTTGGGTTTCGGATATGATTGAGCTGTGTGAGTTGGTGCCAGAGAGGAACGGGGGTGGTCGACTGCAGCATCAAGGCACTTCACCCATACTGTTCCTCTCCACCACCCTTCAATCATTACCTCCCCCATCAACATATATCATTCACCCACTCAATTTCCCCACCCACTCCTTTCCACCACCCACTCCTTTCCCCCACCCACTCCTTTCCACCACCCACTCCTTTCCACTACCCACTCCTTTCCCCCTCCCACTCCTTTCCCCCACCCACTCCTTTCCCCCACCTACTCCTTTCCCCCACCCACTAATTTCCCCAACCCCCTCGTTTCCCCCACCCACTCCTTTCCCCCACCCACTCCTTTCCCCCACCCACTCCTTTCCCCCACCCACTCCTTTCCCCCACCCACTCCTTTCCCCCACCCACTCCTTTCCCCCACCTACACCTTTCCCCCACCTACTCCTTTCCATTCCTCCACCCACTCCTTTCCCCCACCCACTCCCGATGTCTGGCTGTGGTTATGAAAGGGGAGGATGAGTGTTTGATCTCAGCATCAGGGTGTTTCAGCTGCTCAACAGCCAGGTGCATGTGCAGTAGAATGCAGTGCGGTGCGGTGCTGTGCGGTGCAATGGGGTGCAGTGTGGTGCAGTGTGGTGCGTCTGTGTGGATTAAGGTTGTGTGTGTGTGCTGGCTATTAGGCTCCATGGGCTTAGCATCAGTCCAATTGCAGTCACAAAACAGCCTCGTGTAGGTGCAGTGGCAGTGCGGTACAATGAGATTGAGCACGAGACCTCTGGGATGGAGTGCGGTGGTGCAGTGTAAGGTTGTGTGCTGAAAGTTTTCTTAGCTGATTATCTGAAGCTAGAGTGAGTGCGCTACAACCGGATGCAGTGCGGTTAGATGTGGTGGGCAGCAATAGCGATGTGTGTGGAATGCGATGGGATGCAATGCTGTTGGGTGGAACCGAGTGCAAATGGGATGTGCAGTGGCATCGGTCTTGTGTGCAAAAATACACTCTTAAGTCCAAAATCTATAATTTCATATCATCTAGATTCCGTCTATATTCAGTCTTGATTCTGTCTAGATTATGTCGAGATTATGTCTAAATTCTGTCTCTATTCTATTATTCTATGTAAATGCTATTTCCTTGAACCTTGGTCCTTCACCTAATCCTTCCTTTGGAAACATATGTTCCAGGTACGGCAAGGAAAGCTCGGGACTGGTACTAGACCTGGTGAATAACCCGGTTGGGCCATTCCTTCCACCTGCTCAAGCCAAGCTGGAGGAGGCAAATAAGGTGAGATGGGATGCGGTGGGGTGGGGTGGGGTGGGGTGGGATGGGATGGGTTGGGGTGGGGTAGAGTGGGGCGGGGTGGGTTGGGATGGGATGGGATGAGATGAGATGTGATCTGATGTGCTGCTACGGGAACACTTACCCTTCCAAATCTCTCCAAACCCCTCCAAACCCATTTAAAACCCTCCAAATCCCTCCAACTCCTCCATAATTCTCAATATATCTCCACAACCCTCCACATCCCTCCATGCCCCTCCATACCCCTCCATGCCCCTCCATACCTCTCCAAACCCCTCCATACCCTTTTCAAAGCGACATGATGGCATGCTAAGTCATATCGCTCAACCAACAGTCTCCCTCTCCAGATTCTCTTCCATGCCCCTCCATATCCCTTCATACCATGCCATACCACCCCATACCCCTCCATATCCCTCCACACCCTGCCATACCCTGCCATACCCCCCTATACCCCTCCATACCCTCCACACCCCTCAGTACCACTCCATCTGTACCTCTCAGAGCGAGCTGATGTCATGCTATGGCATATCGTTCAACCAACAGTCTCCCTCCCCACCATATCCTTCTAATCAAATCCGTCCATATCCTGTCATACCCCCCCATACCCTCCATAACCATCCACATCCTTCCGCACCCCTCCATACCCCTCCATACCCCTCCATACCCCTCCATTTCCCTCCATACCCCTCCATTCCCCTCCATACCCCTCCATTCCCCTCCATACCCCTCCAACCCTCATACCCTTCTCAGAGCGAGCTGATGTTATGCTATGCATATCATCATCATGCAGTCTCCCTCTCCAAATTTCCTTCCAAACCCCTCCATACCCCTCCAAACCCCTCCATACCTCTCCAACATCACATACCCTTCTCAGAGGGAGCTTATGTCATGCTATGGCATATCGTTCAACAGCCTCTTCACCATCACCAACATGCCTGTCAAGAGGTGAGTGGTGAGCGCATGTTGCATGGTGTGTGGTGAGTGGTGAGCAGGGGTGATGAGAGGTGGACAGGAGTGAGTAGAGGTGAAGAGAGGCGAACAGGGGTGAGCAGGGGTGAACAGAGGTTAACGGAGGTGTTTTGGCCAGTGAGCAGAGAGTATTGTTCAACAGCCTGTTCACATATCACCAACATGCCTGTCAAGAGGTAAGTTGTGAGCGGCATGTTGCAAGTGCGTGGTGTGCGGTCAGCAGGGGTACAGAGAGGTGTGGTGGTTGGTGGGCATAGCATACTATCATTCTTCAGCCGTTTCACCATCGCCAACATGCCTGTCAGAAGGTGAGTGGTGAAAAGAGGTGAGTAGAGGTGTGCAGAGGCGAGCAGCGTTGAGCAGCAAGCTCAGGCGAACAGGGCTTGTTGTTTAACGAATCTTGGCTTTCTGGGTTGCCCATGCACGGCTGCTGCTTTCTGTTGAGTCAACTCAAAAATCAGGTGAGCAGCGCTTGTTGCTTAACAGCCAGGTCAACGAACGAACGAACCTCGGCTTTCTGGGTTGCCCATGCACAGCTGCTTCTTTCATCATCCCATGCACTTCATGTGTCTCTCTCCATGCGTGTGTGCTGAGCATGCCATCAGCTCGCTGAAGTGGGTGGTGGGCTGCGCTGGGTTAGGCAAGCACAGCTGCTGCTTCCATGCCTGGGATTCCATGAGCATGCGTGTGTGCTCAGCATGCCATGCACTTCATGTGTCCCTCTACATGTGTATTTGTCTCTTTAATTGCCTCATGTCTGTCTGTACATCCTATGTAACCACAGTCTTGCTGTCGCATCCTATTTGTCGCATCCTATTTGTCGCATCCTATTTGTCCCATCCTATTTGTTGCATCCTATTTGTTGCATCCTATTTGTCGCATGGAAGTTGAGAGTGTGTCTCTGTCCCTCCATGTCTGTCGGTACATCCTATAACAGATTCGCGTTCTTTCTGCATAGGCAGGGCCAGCTCGAGGACTACATGCACCTGCTGGTAAGCCTAGTTGTGGAGATGCTTGTATGGAGTACACGTTTCGGTTCTATGCTGGTGGCATGCATGTGAGGGACATGCCACGCATACATGCACGCATACATGCCCACCCCACCCCACCCCACCCCACCCAACCCCCTCCCACCCAATCCCACCCCACCAAATCTTCCGTCCCTTTCCCACTCTGTCCTCCCTCATGCTCTCCTCTCCCACCCCATTCCACCCACGCAGGTCTCTGCCTTCAACCCGGCAGCAGTGGGCAACGAGATGTGCCGAAACCTCATCCGCTTTACAATCCCACCCCATCTTCCGCCTCTTCCCCCCAACCCTTTCTCTCCCATTCTCTCCCCTGCCTCTCCCCTCACCCGCGCAGATCTCTGCCTTCAACCCAGCAGCAGTTGGCTACGTGATGTGTTTGTTTAGACTGCTGCTCGCCTAATCATATGGCTGAAGCAACCCAGCAGCAGTTGGCTATGTGATGTGTTTGTTTAGACTGCTGCTCGCCTAATCATATGGCTGAAGCAACCCAGCAGCAGTTGGCTACGTGATGTGTTTGTTTAGACTGCTGCTCGCCTAATCATATGGCTGAAGCAACCCAGCAGCAGTTGGCTACGTGATGTGTTTGTTTAGACTGCTGCTCGCCTAATCATATGGCTGAAGCAACCCAGCAGCAGTTGGCTACGTGATGTGTTTGTTTAGACTGCTGCTCGCCTAATCATATGGCTGAAGCAACCCAGCAGCAGTTGGCTACGTGATGTGTTTGTTTAGACTGCTGCTCGCCTAATCATATGGTTGAAGCAACCCAGCAGCAGTTGGCTACGTGATGTGTTTGTTTAGGCTGCTGCTCGCCTAATCATATGGCTGAAGCAACCCAGCAGCAGTTGGCTACGTGATGTGTTTGTTTAGACTGCTGCTCGCCTAATCATATGGCTGAAGCAACCCAGCAGCAGTTGGCTACGTGATGTGTTTGTTTAGACTGCTGCTCGCCTAATCATATGGCTGAAGCAACCCAGCAGCAGTTGGCTGCGTGATGTGTTTGTTTAGACTGCTGCTCGCCTAATCATATGGCTGAAGCAACCCAGCAGCAGTTGGCTGCGTGATGTGTTTGTTTAGACTGCTGCTCGCCTAATCATATGGCTGAAGCAACCCAGCAGCAGTTGGCTACGTGATGTGTTTGTTTAGACTGCTGCTCGCCTAATCATATGGCTGAAGCAACCCAGCAGCAGTTGGCTGCGTGATGTGTTTGTTTAGACTGCTGCTCGCCTAATCATATGGCTGAAGCAACCCAGCAGCAGTTGGCTGCGTGATGTGTTTGTTTAGACTGCTGCTCGCCTAATCATATGGCTGAAGCAACCCAGCAGCAGTTGGCTACGTGATGTGTTTGTTTAGACTGCTGCTCGCCTAATCATATGGCTGAAGCAACCCAGCAGCAGTTGGCTACGTGATGTGAACTTGATCAACATTGACTGGTGCGGGGGAGAGGAGGGAAGGAGGGAGGAAGAGAGGGGGAGAGCGAAGGGGGGTAATGTATGCGTGTGTCTAGTATGTGTGTTCAACCCGGCAGCAGTGGGCAACGTGATGTGCCGAAACTTGATCAGCATTGACTGGTGCGGGGGAGAGGAGAGGGAAGGGGGGAGGGAGGGGGGGCATTGCATGAGTGAGCTAGTATGTGTTAGGCTAGAATCGGTGATCAACCCAGCAGCAGTGGGCAATGTGATATGCCGAAACCTGATCATCATTGACTGGTGTGTGGGTGAGGGAGAGGGGAGAGGAAGAGGGGGGGAGCTGGAAGGGGGAAAGGGGGGATAATGTGTGTGTGTGACTAGTATGTGCCTTCAACCCAGCAGCAGTGGGCAATGTGATGTGCCGCAACCTGATAAGCATTATGGGAGGGGAGGGGGAGGGGAGGGGAGGGGGAGGGGAGGGGAAGGGGAGGGGGAGGGGAGGGGGAGGGGAGGGGTATGGGAGGGGGGTTAATGCGCACATGTGTGGCTAGACAACATGCACTCATAACAGTTGCACCCTGTACATGTGTTTGCCGAAAACGTAATTAACCTAGTTTTGAGTCGACTCGAAAATAGGTTGTGCGTGTGTTTGTTGAAAACGTGATGTGTCTAGTCTAGACCTTTTCAAGAAGGGCTAGGGTTGAGTGTGTGGGATTGTGGTGTAGAGTGTGTGGCGATGGGTAGAGTGTGTGTGCATGCATCCATACACCTCTTCCTCAGTCTTGACACTTTGACATTTGACATCCGCCGGCATCCCCTGACATCCCCTGACATCCCTGGACATCCCACGACTCAAAAGGTGCTCTCTTCGACTGTGACTTCAACCAGCAATCTCTTTTGAGTCGACTCAAAAGGCGCTCTCTTCGACTGTGACTTCAACCAGCAATCTCTTTTGAGTCGACTCAAAAGGCGCTCTCTTCGACTGTGACCTCAACCAGCAATCTCTTTTGAGTCGACTCAAAAGGCGCTCTCTTCGACTGTGACTTCAACCAGCAATCTCTCCCTTGGCCTTAATTCCTTCCCCCAATAGCCATCTACGTCAGCCACACCCACCTTTCTCCCCCCTTCTCCTTTCCCAGTTCCGCATCCCATGTCAGGCAAGGCAATCTCTTCGACTGTGAATTCAACAACCAGCTTTCCCTAAGCCAATTTTTGAGTCGACTCAAAAATTGACTCCAACAACCAGCTCGCCCTAAGCCTTCCCCCTAAACCATCCACGGCACCCGACTCTCCCCTCACCTCACCTCCTCCTCCTTCTCCTCCTTCTGTAATTGACATCCAGTCACTGGATGAGCTTGTAGATTGCCCCATAGCCACAGCAGCACACATCTATGGGTGAGTGGGAAACACCTTGCCTCTTCTAACTATGAGCCTGTCAGCCTCTGAGTGTTTGCAGCGTTTTCCTTCCCCTCGCTCTGTCCTTGACATCCAATCACTGGATGAGCTTGTAGATCGCCCCATAGCCACAGCAGCACACTTCTACGGGTGAGTGGGAAACACCTTGCCTCTTCTAACTATGAGCCTGTCAGCCTCTGAGTGTTTGCAGCGTTTTCCTTCCCCTCGCTCTGTCCTTGACATCCAGTCACTGGATGAGCTTGTAGATTGCCCCATAGCCACAGCAACACACTTCTACGGGTGAGTGGGAAACACCTTGCCTCTTCTAACTATGAGCCTGTCAGCCTCTAAGTGTTTGCAGCGTTTTCCTTCCCCTCGCTCTGTCCTTGACATCCAGTCACTGGATGAGCTTGTAGATTGCCCCATAGCCATGGCACCGCAGTGGTCTGGGTGAGTGGTTAGCGTTCCTCTCTCCTCTCCACACCTCTCCCACCCCCCCGATCCAAACACTGGACGAGCTTGTTGATCTCCCCATGGCCACCATAGCACACTTCTACGAGTGAGTGAATCTTCCTCGCTCTCCTCTCCTTACCTGTACCCCGCCCCCCGTCCAATCACTGGACGAACTTGTGGATCGCCCCATAGCCAAGGCAGCACACTGCTACGGGTGAGTTATTGATTCAACATACTTGCATTTCCTGTTTGTAGTGAGCATCTGTAGCGTGTGTTGTGAATCACAAGGGGAGCATGTTGACAGACCGGCCCATAACCAATGAAATGCAACGCTATGTACAAGTGAGATGCTGATTTTCCGTGCAAGTGAGCATCTGTAACGTGTGTTGTATCTCGTTGGGAGAGCTTGCTGATCGGCACATAACCACTGAAATGCACTGCTACAAGTGAGCTACTGATATTTTGTACCTTTTGGGTTAACTCGGAAAGTCACTTTGGGTCGACCTGCAATGCAAATTGGTTCGACTATGGCCACTTTGGGTCGACCTGCAATGCAAATTGGTTCGACTATGGCCACTTTGGGTCGACCTGCAATGCAAATTGGTTCGACTATGGTCACTTTGGGTCGACTCTGAAAGCTACTTACGTTCGTGCTGAAGTGCACGTTGGTTCAACTAAGGTGTTACGAGTGCAATTGAGTGGTCGAGCGAGAATTGCACTATCGAAGCAAGAGTACAATGAGCGAAGAATATATAGCGAAACTACCGTGGTAACGGTAATGGACTGTGGCTGTCGCGCGACGGGCCTAGGGCTAAGGTTTGGGGAAATGTCGAAGCGCAGGTCCGGAGCGCGGGTTACCCGCCGAGCCGTGAGGTCGGGGTGCGACGTGCGAAGGTGGCGGGAGGATTGTCGATGCGAGGGATGCGAGTGGTAACGGTGCTGACTGTGGTGCTACAGTGGTGTACGCGCTGAACGGGGACGCGAAGTAAGGAAAAGGAATTTTCCTTACACTATCCCCCCCCTAAGGAGGTCCTCCTTACGAAAGTGCGTGTACATCCCTGAAGTTTCGGCTGCGCAGATACTCTGTGAGGACGGGGTGGTTTTCGACTCTGTCCAGGGGAACCCAGTTGTCTTCGGTGGGTGTACGGTATTTCCAGCGGATCAGGAACTCGATCCTTCGGGCTCCTCGAGGGTCACGAACTCTGTGGCTCAGAATTTTCTCGGGTGTGATGATTGGTTCAGTCGGCGGTCGTGTCATGCTGGCTGGGCGATTACGTGGCAGTTGGCTTGTGGACGGGACGTAAGGGCGAAGCAGGCTGACGTGGAATGAGGGGCTGACGTACCAGTCAGCGGGGAGGAGGAGGTGGGCGGTGACGCGCGTAATTATGTGGCTTATGCGAAATGGCCCGCAATATCGGGGGCGGAGTTTTGGGGTGATGGGCAGTCGGAGGTTCTGAGTGTTGAGTAAAACTAGGTCGTCAGGTTGGTAACTGACAAGTCGGCGGTGGCGGTCGGCGTTACGTTTAGCGATGATGTTCGATTTTTTTATTGCGTCTGCTGCCCGGGTCCATGCTGCTTGTAAAATTTCGGCGAACTGTTGTGCTCGTGGCACCGGGTTGTCGGGATTCGGGGTCATGGGTACTGTTGGGTCTTGTCCGTAGTTCAGGTAAAACGGTGACTGTTGGGTCGTGGCGGATGGTGAGTTGTTGCATGCGAACTCAATGAGTGGCAGCTGTTGTTCCCAGGTGGTTGGGTCGTTGCACGTGGCTCGGATGAGTTGCTCCATACTCTGATTTGTCCGTTCTGTCTGTCCGTCGGTTTCGGGGTGGTACGAAGAACTGAACTGTAGTGGCGTGCCGAACTGCTGCCACAGGTTCCGCTAGAAGTTGCTGGTGAATTTTGTGTCGCGGTCGTTGATTATCACTGCTGGTATCCCGTGCAGTCGAACGACGGTGGAGATGAAGAGGCGTGCTGTTTCTTCGGCTGTGATTGATTTTTTGCAGGCTGCGAAGTGTGTCATTTTCGTCAGTCGATCGACGACGACCAGGATCGCGACGTCACGATGACTCGCCACCAGTCCATGGCGGGGCCCCTCAGCAGCGAGACGGCATATTGGATCTTCGCTGCGTCCGACTCGACGTAGTTTGCGTCGAAAAATACGTTCATCGTAAAGACCCACGATTGAACCGTCGGACCTCCACGCTGGCTTGGGTCGAAACAGGGCGGGCGCTGCGGCTTGAGTGGCATTGGTGCCATGATGGCTTGGTCGCCACTTGTCGCCGCGAACTCCATGTGCTGACGGGCTTCACGAGGCTCCCGCGGGCTTAGCGCGACCCTGTTTCTCCCCATGCCCGGCATCGGTTGGGCGGCGCCATCACTGGCTGCGCCTGAGCGCTGTCCCACGCTGTCGTTCTGTGTTGGTGTGCCTGATGAAATGACGATCAGCTCCTCCGATTGTGCAGGTGCATTTGCAGGTGCGTGTGGTGGCGCCGGAGTATTCACCGTGGATTGCTGACGTGCGGAGTCACGTTCCGCCGTGAGCGTCGCAATTTCGAGCGCCGATTCTTCAACTTGGCGCACGAGACGGTCGAGTTGCTCCTGCGTCAGTGTCGCGAGAGTAAATTCGGCCATGGCGGGGGTGTCGGGCAAGCTCAGCGAGAGCCTCTGTCGTGGCCGTGCGTGCTTACGAGAGAGCATTACGAGCGGCGGTGATGTGTCACTGAGAGACGTCTACCCCCCCCAAAAATTGAGATAGTGGGGAAGCGAAGGTGTGGGTGCGGTCCGAGAAGAGATCGTAGGCTCTGAATACCAAGTGTTACGAGTGCAATTGAGTGGTCGAGCGAGAATTGCACTATCGAAGCAAGAGTACAATGAGCGAAGGCATGAGCGAAGAATATATAGCGAAACTACCGTGGTAACGGTAATGGACCGTGGTTGTCGCGCGACGGGCCTGGGGCTGAGGTTTGGGGAAATGTCAAAGCGGAGGTCCAGAGCGCGGGTTCAGGGCTGATTTTATCAGGGTAATTACCCTGATTTCAGGGTGATTTCAAACTTTCCACTTTGCGGAGACTGAGATTTCAGAATTACTGAGTTCTCAACCCTGTTCAAATCAGAGTAGTAGTTTTCCTATCCCTGATTTTGAGTATAGTGTAACAGACTAGCCTGTTAGTGGACCCTGACTTAATAGGGTATCGAATCTGTGGTCCCTGATTTTGACCTTATCGAGAGGAAGGTTCTTGGAAATTTCCTCCCGATATCCCCCTTCGGTTTGATCGCAGTACAGCCAGCGCATGAGCGATGGACAGCAGCATGTCTGACAGGCGAGTACACTCGATGTTTGTTATTTTCACGAAATGCGAATAAGTTGTTCCACTGTCGTAAGTGCGTGTGCGTAAAGTTTCCAGAACCTATTTGCGTTTCGCACAGCGATGTTGGCCACATTCAGGTATCGAATCGAAATGTTTGGTTGAGCGAAATCGCTCATCTCTTCCCCCCACTAAAACGTGTACATAAATACCATTTCGTAACACTAAAAGGGTGGAAATTAGCGCGCTCAAAGTGTGCGCGAAATACAGAGCGCAAACTTTACGCAGAGGGAGACTTTTTCCCCTGTAACAAAGGGCGCGTTACTACTCTGATCCTCGATTTTCGACCCTGAACAATCAGAGTTATATACTTATCAACCCTGAGCAATCAGAGTAGCATTATTTTGAAAAATGTGCACTCATAATAGAGGGGAAAATTTTTCCCCGGAATCAGGGAGGCCTAATATGAAACGTCAGCCCTGCGCGGGTTACCCGCCGAGCCGTGAGGTCGGGGTGCGACGTGCGAAGTTGGCGGGAGGATTGTCGATGCGAGGGTTGCGAGTGGTAACGGTGCTGACTGTGGTGCTACAGTGGTGTACGCGCTGAACGGGACGCGAAGTAAGGAAAAGGAATTTTCCTTACATAAGGTCACTTCAGCTCGACTCCACAAGTCGCTGGCCGAGCCGCTTCTGTGTATCTTTGAAGATGACATTTTTAGTGTGCCTTTTTCCTTAAAGCCCGAGTCTAGAATGGCAATGGTTCAAGTTCAAGATTCTTGAAGCTGAAATCGCAAAAAACAGGGTAGCCCACTTTTGAACTGCGAGGCACTCGCGACCACGGGAAACAGTTTTTGGTTGAGGGATTCTGATTGGCTGAGATCAACACAGGCAAATTTATCAACCCTCTCGCCACAAAAGCCAACCCAACAGGCCACTGTTCATACATCTACAAACTTGAACGTCGAGCTAACCATAATAGACTCGATAACTAGGTGCCTCCATAGCTTACAAAATAGCGTAGTTGACGCCTAGCGCACTCACTCCCGCCCGTCCGTCCCGTCTCTCCCGTTCGTCTTGTGTCCCCCGTCAGACCCATCACTCCCATCCTCTCACAAAGTCACACAATCGAGTCACCTTCCTACTCAAGACGCCGGCCGTAACACACAAGGGGCCTTGACAATGAGCTCTTGTGAGCGGAGTCAACCACCATTCCGACCGTAGGCGGTTGGGGCACTCCCAACCAACCTGTCGCGGCCAATGTCACTTCCGTTCCCAATGCCGTTCCCATCGTCGAGGCGGTACCGTTGCCCTTGCCTCCGCCACCTATTCGTCGCCCTCCCTTCCCCTTACCTTCGCGCTCGCTTCCCCTGCCCGTCGCGCTCCCGTCTCCTTCCCATCGCGCACCCTGCCCTGTTCCCTCGCTTCCCCTGCCCGTCGCGCTCCCTTTTCCTGCTCGTCGCGCTCCCTTCTCCTGTTCGTCGCGCTCCCTTCTCCTGCTCGTCGCGCTCCCTTCTCCTGTTCGACGCGCTCCCTTCTCCTGCCCGTCGCGCTCCATTCCGTCACTTATCATTTCTGTCACTCATGTGTGTCTTGGCCTCCCCCTTCCCTACGCGCTACTCCCCCTTCCCTACGGGCTGCTCCCCCTTCCCTACGCGCTGCTCCCCTTCCCTAGGCGCTGCTCCCCCTCCCTACGCGCTGCTCCCCCTCCTACGCGCTGCTCCGCCTTCCCTAGCTACTCCCCCTTTCCTTCGCGCTGCTCCCCTTCCCTAGACGCTTCTCCCCCTTCCCTACGCGCTATTCCCCCTTCTCTACTCGCTGCTCCCCTTCCCTAGACGCTGCTCCCCCTCCCTACGCGCTACTCCCCCTCCCTACGCCCTGCTCCCCTTCCCTACGCGCTGCTCCCCTTCCCTACGCGCTGCTCCCCTTCCCTACGCGCTACTCCCCTTCCCTACGCGCTACTCCCCTTCCCTACGCGCTACTCCCCTTCCCTACGCGCTACTCCCCCTCCCTACGCACTGCTCCCCTTCCCTACGCGCTGCTCCCCTTCCCTATGCGCTGCTCCCCTTCCCTACGCGCTACTCCCCTTCCCTACGCGCTACTCCCCTTCCCTACGCGCTACTCCCCTTCCCTACGCGCTACTCCCCCTTCCCACTCATCCCTTCTCCTTCCTTTCCGTCTCGCCTTCTCTCCTTCCTTCCCTCTGTCCATTCTCCAAAGAGTAGGGAGGGGGACTGAAGAGACCTTTATTCCCTCCCGCCTCACTCGCTCCCCTTGCTCACTCAGTTCCATTGCTTGCTATTGCACGTCACCTTCACGCACACCGGGTCACAAAGACACTCACTTCCTTCTGTTACCAGCAGCACTCCTGTTAACCATGCCTGTCAATTGCTTCCCTCACCACCCCTCTCCTCCCTTCCCTCTCTCACCCCCCCTCCCTCCTCCTGTCCCTCCTGTCCTTCCCGTCCCTCCCGTCGCCCAACACCTTCCGTCCACACAGGGCAACCGCCTTGCATCGGGCCTGTCACTCACAAACTTACATGTGACACTCACTCCCGTTCTACAAACTCACTCCCCTCCTCTCCTCTCCCTTTCCTCGTGTCCTTCCCTCCGTTTCCCCCCCTGTCCCTTCCCTCCCGTTCCCCGTGTCCTTCCCTCCGTTTCCCACCTTGTCCCTCCCTCCACCTCCCCCCTGTCTTTCCCTCCGATTCCCCCCTTGTTCCTCTCTCTCTTTCCCTGTGTCCTTCCCTCCTGCCCCCACCTTCCCCCTCCCTTCCTTTCCTCCATTCCTAACTGCTCCTGCTCCCCCTCCTCATCAATCGTTTTTCCCCGTCCCTCTGATCTCCGCCCTTATTCCCACGCCCCAACCCTCCCCGTCACCCACACATGTCGCAGGCACATATCACTTACACCTTCCCTCCTCCCACCTTCCCTCCTCCCACCTCCCCTACTCCCGCCATCTCTTTCCATCCCACTCCTCTTCACTCTACCCTTTCCTTCTCGCTGTCCGTATCCGCTCGCCTATTCTGACTCAGGTCTTCTCAAGTTGCGCCCGACTTACGCCTCACAAAATGGATGTGCAGCACCGACACTCGCCTTCCGCATTTGTGAACCGGAAGAGCGATAATGGGCACGAGTGGGATTATTAGGGGAGTAACTGACTCGACACTGTCTCACTTGCTTGGTGTATGTCCCCCTTTTTATCAATTACAGAATAGTGGCACTTTTTTGTGCCGTAAATAACACAACTGCCAGCCAATCGCCCATATGAAGGTTTTATGCTTCATTTACCGTACCCTAAACCATTTTACAAGTTTTGTAAGGAATATTCCTTTTCCTTACTTCGCGTCCCCGCTCAGCGCGTACACCACTGTAGCACCACAGTCAGCACCGTTACCACTCGCAACTCTCGCATCGACAAACCCTCCCGCCACCTTCGCACGTCGCACCCCGACCTCACGGCTCGGCGGGTAACCCGCGCTCCGGACCTCCGCTTCGACACTTTTCCCAACCTCAGTCCCAGGCCCGTCACGCGACAACCACAGTCCATTACCGTTACCACTGTAGTTTCGCTATATATTCTTCGCTCATGCCTTCGCTCATTGTACTCTTGCTTCGATAGTGCAATTCTCACTCGCTCATTCAATTGCACTCGTAACACTTGGTATTCAGAGCCTACGATCTCTTCTCGGACCGCACCCACACCTTCGCTTCCTCACTATCTCAATTTTTTGGGGGGGGTAGACGTCTCTCAGCGACACAGCACCGCCGCTCGTAGTGCTCTCTCGTAAGCACGCACGGCCACGACAGAGGCTCTCGCTGAGCTTGCCCGACACCCCCGCCATGGCCGAATTCACGCTTGCAACATTGACGCAGGAGCAGCTCCACCGCCTGGTGCGCCAACTTGAAGATTCGGCGCTCGAAATCGCGACACTCACGGCGGAACGTGACTCTGCGCGTCAGCAATCAACGGTGAACACTCCCGCACCACCACACGCACCGACCAATGCATCTGCACAATCGGACGAGCCGATCGTCATTTCGTCCGGCACACCAACACAGAATAACAGCGTGGGACAGCGCTCAGGTGCAGCCAGTGATGGCGCCGCCCAGCCGATGCCTGGCATGGGAGGAAACAGGGTCATACCCAGCCCGCAGGAGCCTCGTGAAGCCCGTCGGCACGTGGAGTTCGCGGCGACAAGTGGCGAACAGGCCATTATGGCACCAATGCCACTCAAGCCGCAACGCCCGCCCTGCTTCGACCCAAGCCAATGTGGAGGTTCGACGGTTCAATCGTGGGTCTTCACGATGAATGTTTTTTTCGACGCGAATTACGTCGAGTCGGACGCAGCGAAGATCCGGTATGCCGTTTCGCTATTGAGGGGCCCCGCCATGGACTGGTGGCGAGTCATCGTGACGTCGCCACGCGCCTACGAGCCACCGTCGCAAGAGGAAGGGCCCACGGGTCCAGCTGTCACTTGGAGTTCATTCTGCGAGACCGCCCAGTACAGCACGTGGGATGCGTGGTGCGCACGGCTTCGGCCACGTTTCGAGCCAATCGCGGCTTCTATTTCGGCGCGTCAGAGACTGCGTACTTGGCGGCAGCTCGGATCGGTTCAAGACTATACGAGTGGTTTTCTCGCATTATGCGAACAGGTCGGCTACATGCACGAAGCGCAGCGGGTGGACCGTTACGTCGGAGGGCTGAAGCCGGACATCTCGCACGAGATCATGCTACGCGGGCTCTCGAACTTCAACGAGATTCTCGCGCTCGCCGAGAAAATCGACATCTTACGCCGTCCGAGACCGGGGTCCTACTACGGACATCGTTCTCGGGGACCAATCGAGCACGCCACCGTACATGCCGTTGCAACGAATGCAGCTGCCGCGCCATTTAAGGGGCGCTGCTTTGCTTGCAATAGGCCGGGCCATCGCAAGAGTGAATGCCCAGAGGAGCTAAGGCACCGCGGAGCAGAGTAGGGGAGGGAGTCTCCAAGGTAGGGAAATGCCAGCAGTCAGTAGGAGTCGGGCCAACTACTGACGAGACTGCCTGCTCGCCCAACCCCACCGACCCTCACCGAGTCACAGTACCGATTCATGCTATCGATCGGGCTCGAACGAATAAGGAGGGTACAGCGACGGATTGCCCAGTACTGATCCACGGAAAAATACAGGGAGCAGCAGTGAAGATTTTTATCGACGGAGGAGCAAGCCACAGCTTAGTTAATACCGCAACCGCCCGGAAACTGCAACTGACACTTAGCCGCTGTTTACCTGAGATAGACGCATGCTTAGTCGACGGCACGCCATTGGCCATACGGGAAAAGGTGGAGAGAGTCAAAGTCCGCTGCGGGGGGAATTTCGGATTTACACTGGAAATGCTTGCGACGACCCTCGATGGGCACGACATTTTACTGGGACGTGATTGGCTACGACGGTATAACCCGCGAATTGACTGGACGACGGGTAGCTGCACTGTGCGAAGTAGCGGTAACTGGGTCGAGCTACCTCGCTGGCAGTCGCCCGGGTCTTCAACGGTTCACGTCAATGCCATCACCATGAAATGGGCTGTCGCTGCTGGAGCTGACGTGTACGCAGTGGACATTACAGTGGTAGAGGAAGCAGAGCAGCCAAGTGATTTCAAGAAACTGCTGGCAGCCGTACCGCCCGAACTACAGGAACTGTTGAAACGATACCCCGGGATTTTTCCCGACGACTTACCAGAAGGGCTGCCACCTCAGCGAGCAAACGACCACCGAATAGAATTAGAACCGGGGGCACAGCCAACGGTACAGCGCCAGTTCAGACTGACACAGCCCGAGCTCGACGAACTAAGGAAGTAGTTAGATTACCTGTTAGAGAAAAAATTCATCCGACGAGTTCGTCACCATTCGCCGCACGGATACTGTTCACGCCAAAAAAAGACGGAGGGTTTCGCATGTGCATCGATTACCGAGCGCTCAACAGGGTAGCAGTCAAGTCACGGTACCCCATTCCCCGCGCCGACGAACTGATCGACCAACTGCGAACAGCACGGGTTTTTTCGAAAATAGATTTACGAGGCGGTTACCATCAGATTAGGGTCGAACCGTCGGACTGCGCCAAAACAACTTTCCGGACTAGGTACGGGTCATTCGAGTACACCGTGATGCCATTCGGGCTGACCAACGCACCGGCGACTTTTCAGATGACCATGAACGAGGCGTTTAGGCCGCTCTTAGATAAATGTGTGATAGTTTACCTCGACGACATCCTAGTTTACAGTCGGGATAAGCAGCAGCACTTAGCAGATCTGGAAGCAGTATTTCAGGTTTTAGACGAGCACAGATTACTGACCAAGGGTTCCAAGTGCGAGTTCTTCCAGGATAGGTTAGAATTTTCGGGGCACGTTATTTCGGAGGTTGGAGTTGAAATCGACCCAAAGAAGCTGGATACGGTACAAGCGTGGCATCCCCCGACGAACATCACGGAGCTGCAGAGCTTTTTAGGGTTCGTTAATTATGTGCGTCGGTTCGTCCCCGATATGGCACGGTTAACTGCCCCACTGACGGATTTACTGCGGAAGGGGGTCGCTTTTACGTGGGGGGAGAAAGAGCATGCTGCCTTCTCTGCCCTGAAAAATGTTCTCTGTTCACCACCCGTCCTGCGCATCGCCGACCCACACTGCCCATTCGAAGTGGTTACTGACGCCAGCGACATCGCCATCGGAGCCGTACTACTACAGGACTTCGGCAACGGCCTACAGCCCATCGCATACGAGTCACGAAAACTTCATCCGCCCGAGAAAAATTACCCGATACACGACCGCGAAATACTTGCGATCGTGCACGCGTTCAAAGTGTGGCGCTGTTACTTGACCGGAGCAGAAGTAACAGTACGGACAGACCATAAATCACTACAGTACCTCCGCGCACAGCCCCACCTTAACCCACGACAGATTCGCTGGCTCGATTTTCTCGAGTCAAACTTCCACTACACGGTCACCTACAAAAAATGAGCCTCGAACATCGCCGACGCACTGACCTGCCCCACTGCCCAGATCCACGCAATACTACTTGCCCAGACCAATTCCCTACTGACAGGCCTATTTACCCACTTGAACCAAACAGATCCAATCTTCACAGGAGGAAATTCGCAGCAGTTCGCAGCAGCAAGGGGAGTCTATTACGTAAAAGCCGGGACCGACCGCATTTGGGTGCCTGGGTATACACTGCTACGGGAATTACTGTCACAGGAGGCACACGACGGAGTTACCTCGGGACATTTCCGGGTAGAAAAAATACGGCAGCAGCTACAGCGGTATTATTACTGGCCCGAGATGTTGACCGACGTACAGCGACACGTGGCATCGTGTCCCACCTGCCAGCTCATGAAATCATCAAGGCAGCGGCCGGCAGGACAGTTGCAGCCGATACCACCCCCAGAGCGCGCTTGGCAGCAGGTGACGATGGACTTCGTCACAGGGTTACCGGCCGGGGCGAGTGGGAACGATGCAATCCTGGTCGTCGTCGATCGACTGACGAAAATGGCACATTTCGCAGCCTGCAAAAAATCAATCACAGCCGAAGAAACAGCACGTCTCTTCATCTCCACCGTCGTTCGACTGCACGGGATACCAGCAGCGATAATCAGCGACCGTGACACGAAATTCACCAGCAACTTCTGGCGGAACCTGTGGCAGCAGTTTGGCACGAGACTACAGTTCAGCTCCTCGTACCACCCCGAAACCGACGGACAGACAGAACGGACAAATCAGACCATGGAACAACTCATCCGAGCCACATGCGACGACC